CATTTTTTCAGAAGTCTTATCGTAGTTTTATAACGGGAAAGAAATTTGATCGTGGATGCGAAAACTAGACAAGGTCACGTTAAGTTGTTTTACTGCATCAAATGGTGCCGAGGTCGATTCCAGAATTCTCCATTTGCTCCATTTGTGTCTGCATGGCAGACGGTACACGTAAGTTGAGTAAGACATTGAAAACTGTTTGAAAACCAGTTGCTTCTTTATTTCAGATCATGAATACCACTTGTGCAGAATGTTAGCCAGCGTCTTCAAAAGGCAGCATGGGATCGTTCATGGAATTTGAGGGGCTTATGGGGTAAATGGTCTGGAGTCCAGATTCATTTCAGTTTAGAGGCAGGGTTGCTCGACGTCGACCAGAAGGTAAATAGAAGAGTAGGCTCAGCAGCAGAATACCAGAGAGAGAAATTGTGTGAACATGAAAAGGACACTAATGTTATATGCATATATAAATGTTTATGTCAATTGTATATTATATTTTAGTAAACATTCACCTATATTGTAGTTGTGTTTTCATGCATTTATGCGAAGTCTCAGAGTTAATTTAGTGTCATAATGTTTATTAATAAGTCTGGGCGTTTTAGTGTTCTAATGACTGATGCGTTTTAGAAATAAGTGGTGCGGTCTGGTTGGGATAGTCATTGGGATGAAGCAGTTTATATAGCAAGTGTTTGAAGGTTATAATATATTGACAAGTCCTTGTTTTTAGGGGTTAACTGTTACAGATCTTAGAATACACGACTATGAATAAGTTTTCATGGAGTGCTGCTTCACAGCTTTTCCTAGATACTGTGCACGTTCTGTTACGCATGTTGTAGTAGTCCCTCGGTGAGAACTGTTTCTCCTCTCTCTCTGAGAATAATATTTTATGCGGGGCTTTAAAAAGAACGTTAGATTAGTGCTGAGTCGTCTCGTCCAGAATGAGTCGATACCTAGAGTTTATGTTCGTTGGACATTGTAATTTAGTAAACGTACATATATTCCTACTAAGCCTTTTTATGCACTTATGCGACTAATTTATTTGTAATTTTTACAGTGCTAAGGGTATTTAAGCGCGCTTTTTAGATGCTGTAGTAAATTAATAGTTGATTCGTTCTAGGAATAATTAGTTTAATAATATAATCAGTAGAGTAAAACAGTCTGTATAGAGAGCTTTTGAGGCTTGTAACCGAAGAGCAAGTTCTGATATCTAGGGGCAGGCTATCCCATATTTTAGAATACATCACCGTGAAGGAGTTTTTACAGAGGGTTGACTTAAATGCATGAGTTGCAACTGCGCAAGTTTGGTCACACATATCGCAAAAGCATTCCTCTCCGAATTCTACGTCCCTGTTACCTGAGAATGATATATTGTGAAGGACTTTGAAGAAGAATATTAGGTTTATAATAAGTCGTCTTGTCTAAAGTGGGTCAAGTTTTAGGACCGTCCACCTTGAGATGTAGTCTTTGTTACAATCGTAGCCAAGTAGCTTGGAGTTAAAATATCGCTGGATACTTTCTATCTGTGGGCTGTCACGTGTGCGAGAGCTGTTTAAAATAAATAGGCAGTATTCTAGAAATGACCTCACACACGTTTTGTACAGAATGAGCTTGGCGTCATTGTCGCGAATGTTCCCGAGTATGCAACCTAAGGGCATCCTCGACTTTCTAGTCTGTGATCCCACTTCCTCAGGAAATGTTAGGTCACTTAAGTACTTCAGGCCTAATTCAACGACACTTCGGAGAATGTGAAGGTTAGCAGATTGAAGCGTTAATTTCATATCAATTGAAGGTGCACCAAAGCAGATCCAACCACATTTGTTCAGAGTGAATTGTGGATTCCATGAAGACGACCAAGCAGTCACTTTATCTAATTCTTCCTGCATCGCATTCTCGAAGTACCCTAGGTCATCACATTGGAATGTATAAGCTACTTTTAGGTCATCTGCAAAGATGAATGGTTTCCCATGTGAGAAGCAACCGCATATATCATTGATATAAAGTGTAAATAGGAGGGGCCTAATGACACAGGACCGGCGAGAAAACTAGTAAGCTAGTAGCCTAGCAAGCTAGTATCTGGAGAGGTTGGCAAATAAGCTGAACTCCTTAGGAATACGTGACCCACTTTTAAGATGGCTGAAATCATTCCTTAACAACAGATCCCAAGTAGTTAAACTCGGGTCTGTAGCTTCCAAACCCAGCCTAATCACTTCTAGTGTAGTACAAGATAGTGTCATTAGCCCCCCTGTTTACACTTTATATCAATGATATATGCGGTTGCTTCTCACATGGGAAACCATTCATCTTTGCAGATGACCTAAAAGTAGCTTATACATTCCAATGTGATGACCTAGGGTACTTCGAGAATGCGATGCAGGAAGAATTAGATAAAGTGACTGCTTGGTCGTCTTCATGGAATCCACAATTCACTCTGAACAAATGTGGTTGGATCTGCTTTGGTGCACCTTCAATTGATATGAAATTAACGCTTCAATCTGCTAACCTTCACATTCTCCGAAGTGTCGTTGAATTAGGCCTGAAGTACTTAAGTGACCTAACATTTCCTGAGGAAGTGGGATCACAGACTAGAAAGTCGAGGATGCCCTTAGGTTGCATACTCGGGAACATTCGCGACAATGACGCCAAGCTCATTCTGTACAAAACGTGTGTGAGGTCATTTCTAGAATACTGCCCATTTATTATTAGTAGTCTCTGCATATGTGACTAGCTGGGAATGGAAACTGTAGTGTCCTACGTAAAATATCATTCTTATTTGTATACAGTAATGAATACACTATTAACTCGCTACGCTTATGCTTATAGTAATTTAAGAATTTTCTTGTTCTAGAATATTACATCAGTAACTTCGGATACACAGAAACATTTAAATTTCATACGTCCTCTATTTCACTACCCCATTTGATAATAGCTTTACAGTTGTTTGTGAATGCAGCGAAAGTAATTTCATAGACCACTAGTAGCACTTCGTACTAGGCAGAAGTATTGGCACTCAGTGAAGGTAAAGTGAAAGTGAAATACTATGAAGTTAACTTTTGTCTAATATACGCACCTATCAACTCACTGTAAAGATGATGACGAATTGTTTATTTATTTATTATATTTTTGTTTACAGCTTGATTCCACACTGTATTTTCTTGGTACAGATGTCGAATTTTCAGCATGGATATAGGTAGCCCAAATTTTGCAGGCCGACCGTAGATATCAGGTGTGCGTAGGCAGGGGATCGAACGTCGGACCATGTGCATGGTCGGCGAGAGTTCGAACCACTGTGCCCCCGACGCACAAGCATTGTATTTACTATGTAGGGAATGGTATTACAGGCATACTTCGCAGCAACATGTACAAGACTTGCATGTCATTGCATCAGTAATACAAGCATACTAATTGTAATACAGCCCTATGTGAATAATCTCAAGGCTTCGTACCAGCAAATTTGTGGGAAGTAGATGCATTGAAAGACTGCTTTCAGACATTTCACTGGTAAACCATTGTCAGATCTGACATAATAGGGAAGAATCCTGTCGCAACAACTCCGATTGTCTTTCTAGAGTATACCAGTGTTATTTCCAGAAAAATTGGTAGTACATCGGTAGCATCGACCCACTAGATGCCAAACATTCTGCTAAAGCCCTAAATCTCACTGCCTATCAAGATATATACTGGATAACTGGAGTCATGCTATATTATCCCAGTTTTTAAATAGTAGAGAAGGCTTAAGAAAATTGCAAGGGCCAGGAACGCGGGGTGTGACGTAACATCTATTTAACGAGTACTCTGAAAAACATCTGAAAGAAAAACTGGTGGCAGCAAGCCCAAAATAATTTCAGGAAAGATTGGTCTCAAGCCATCAACCTACTGGCAGCTTGAAAAGCCTGGAAAACATGCCTAAACCAGATGCTCCCAGTGTGTGTCTTGATCATAGAGGTAGCGAAATGTCGGGCTAAATCTCTGGGAAATTAAGTGGGATGAGAATTTTCGGCCCAGAGTTACATTGGTCTGAGGCTTAAACTGAGGATCTGTAATTACCCCTACTCTGCATGGAAAACGCCAAGCAATGGAATACCGTTGGAGGGTAATAATGATCAACTGTTATTCTTGACTTTCACAAAACAGCTGTCTAATAACGTATGCTCTCCATCGTTGCTATGCAGTGATAATAAAAATTTATGGAGGGCAGAGAGATATAAGGAAGTTCCTTCGACGTTTGTGGAAGATCTAACCACTGATATTCTGCTACATAATATTGAAGTAAGAAGACAAATTTCTTCAAACATCTAGACAAGAAAACTCTGACGTTCCTAGAAGTCCTTTGGATCTCAAATAAGAAAATACAGATGCGTTAACTGAGGGTCCGCTTACATTTGCCTCCGAAATAACTGTATGTAGGTAAATATTGTTGTGGAATAAAGTGATTATTATCATTAAAAAAAAAATGCAAATCACCTCAGCCACAAATACCAAATGTCTTTTTTAACAAGATGGTCTGAAACAAACCTTATTTCTCGGTGTCTTATGGTAATGTGACACGATAGTGTGCTTTACATTACTCAGACTGCTATAAACACCAGGCAGGAGTAACATGCACATGAAGGCCAAGAAGTTTTGAAAGCCGATAATGGTAATATATACTCACCAGCAGTAAACAAAAGAGATTTCAGTTAATTTAATAAAATTAAAAGGATGGACAAAGTTCTTATCGCACACAAACACTCCATGGAAGCTAACTGGGAGAATATAGAGGTGGCAACCGAAAGATGTACTAAGCCTTTCAATATAGATATCGTGGTACATAAACAAGTTAGTTGCTGAAGTGTCATGACTGCCGTACAATGCTCACTCATAACGGGACTGAGTGCATATCAGCTAGCTCAAGAAAGACAAAAATAAACTCAATTATACTAAGCGATACAACACAAAAACTTCCCAACACAAAACTTACCTGAAAGATTTCATATATTTTGGTGTTTAGTTTTAATTGACGTTAATTATTAGCGTCCATTTAACCTCGTATGGGTAATGGATTATGAAGGTGTGTCGTTATGTCTCTTTTATGGTGTTTTTACTACCTACTTTGAGTTATTTTAGCATTAAATTCTTCCGTATATTTATTTTATTCAGAACTTACTGCTGAGGAGAAGGAGAGGTTACGATTTATCGGACAACAGAAAGCTCAATTGATCAAAAATATTGAGGTAGTGAGGTTTTTAAATTATTTTCTGGTAGTCACTTAAACTTGAGCTGAATGACATAACAAATCAAATCGAAAGTTTCGGTTTCACGATTGATGGGTATGTTTGTATAATATACTTAGTGTTTGGTAGAGAAGACCCATCTTTATGGCGGCTTGCACTTGGATGTAAAAAATTTAATAGCAATCCGAAGCAGGTTTGTTTTCTCATTTGTCGATATTTGATGGTAATTGTTCAGGGTCTCGAATACCTTTTTGATCAAAATATAATAGAACGATCTCCTGAAGATGTGGCTAAGTTCTTCATAGATCAAAATGATAGTATATCTAAATATGCTGTTGGGACTTATATCGGAGAAGTGTAAGTACTACCGTAATGTATGTTTCTGAGTTTTTCTCTTTATTCTCCTCTGTATAAATTTTACACCTTATTCTAACGTGTATTTTTTGGAGTATACGCTGCCAACCTAGATGAAATCATGTGATGTGTTTTCCCCTAAAAGACATACTGCATTGATTAACCCGTGTTCCTTTATACAGTTCTGTATTGCATGTGTCGCTTTTTTCTATTATCGTATCTGAAGTCAGCCCACATAGTGATATAACTTCCAACATAACATTGTGGTGTACTGTGGATAATTTTAATTTCACTTTATCACTACGTAGAGAGAAAGTAAATAGTTTTGCAATTTATTATTTACGTGACCGTTTCGACGTTTCATGTAATGAACAAAGAAGGCATCATACCTTCAAAAATTTGGTGGTCTTCCGTCACCACAGTTAAGTCAGAGAAAAATTTGTTTTTATCAGTTTCACCAACTAGGAAGAATAAAAGTTGTACTGTGAAGTGTTTCACTGTCATTTAGTACTGATGGAATTATTCCCCGTAGATCGAGCTTATCTTCATGAAATTATTATGCTAGGGGACTTATATATTTACCCCAAAGGGGTTGTCTAGGCTTATGTCATTGTCCACATGGTTTTATCATTATTTTGTGATATTTAATATTACCTCCATTTTTGCTGAGTACGAGGTGCATTGTCTCTGCCAATTAATTCAGTAGACTCAAGCGTCAACCTTGAATGTCATGTCCAGTGGAGAAGCAAATACATTAAGTATTTAGGAATCCACTCCTTTTGAAATGTAATATTTACTGTGTGGCTTCTATGTCTTAATGTTCTAGCATTATCAAGATGTTATCGTTTACTAAGTGATTGCTAGTTGCTTTCTTTTTAACTGAAAGGGAGTGACTGTGTTCTGCATGTATTAACTTTGCAGGCGAATCTACATCCCATTATCCAGGCAACAGACAAATATGCTTCCGTAGGAAAATGCCTAGAGATTCAAGTTTACTGGTAGTTCACTAGAAAAGTAGAATCTGGTTTCTTTTTTTTGAGGACTATTTATCAATGATAACTGCTCATATTGATATATGTAATGTACCGTATATAATGTATATTATAAAATTTACCAATCACTGAAGGAGTTATATTCAGGTTTGACTCCTAAGTCTCTCTCTATACAAACCTTTTTATAACTTCGTGTTTTTTTAAAGTCATACTTCATCCTGTTCAGATTCAAACTAAAAAGATAGAAGGCTTTTGTTGCCTATGTTAATCCTCGTGATATATATCTCCGTATAAATCCAGTTTCTCTTTGAAGACATTCAGAGATGAAGCTATTACTACTGTATCAGGTAAGGAATTCCAGTCGTTGACCACTCTGAGAGAATCTAAATGCCACACGTACTTTATTCGACTTTGGTTCGAGCACCTTCTTGTGGTGACCTCGTAAATGTATTCTAGAGGGAGAGAAAAGGTTTGAAAGGTCAATCCCTAAATCATCCATTAATATACGGTAGGCCAAAATTAAGTCGGCTCTCTTCTTTCGGTATGATAATGGGAAGAGATTTAAATGCTCCATCCTCATATCATTAGGAAGGTGTGAGATACCAGTAATTTTTTTCGTTCCTATCTTCTGTACTCTTTCCAGGATATGTGCCTCCTTCTTGAAGCATCGACTCACCGGTTGTATGCAGTATTTTAGATGAGGTCTGATATATGTTGCATGGAGTACTTGGAACATACCCTCGTCTAATCGTTTGAAAGCCCTACGAAGTGCCCATAGCATTCGGAAAGCCTTGGCTCTGGTTCGATTGCAATTTGCCGTTGCTTTTAAGTCATGGCTTACAATAATTCCTAAGTCCTTTTGTCCCCTAACATCGGACAGTACTGTGTCCCCCAGGGAGTACGACGTGTAAGACTTCTGACCTAGGTGCATAACAGCGCTTTTCTTGGAATTAATTTCCAGACTCCAAAAGTTAGCCCATTCGGCTAATTTATTTATCTAGACCGTTTTGTAGTACCAACCTGTCATCGTTACAATTACTAAGTGAATAATTTTTACAACTAACTGTATCAATATTTTATGTAACAGAAATGACTCGTCAATTTGTATGAAATGTTTAGTTTTGTAATGGCTAAGTGGAATTTTATATCTTCCTCTTTTTCAGTCGAAAAGAATTTAACATGCAAGTCTTGGATGCATTTACAAAGTTGCACAACTTTAAAGATCAAGAGTTTCTACCAGCTCTAAGGTGAGTTTGTTTTAAATATGTACGTTGTACATAGGCTGTAGTTATGCTTTGGTTTACATCTTACAAATTCTTGACTTGCTGTTAGTTAGACGCATAATATATAACATTTTTTGTTATTCTTTAAGTGTGTCATTGTAGAGGTTAAAAAGTAAAGTCCTATTCATGTCCGTTTGTGTTGTTGGCATTTATTTTATTCCTTTACGTTCCTAGTGGAACATAGGTTGGCTTCAAGCTAGAGCTTTGAAGTTTCGGTAGCAGTGGTGTTTATGTTTTTTTGCGGGATGAGGTTGCTAGCCTAATGCCCCCCAACCTTCCCTCTTTACCAGTTTTATAACTGGCTTAGCGAGGTAAAGGAGTGCCTCGTTGGTGGCCGGGAACTGAACCCCGAACCACATGCGCGTGGTTGGCGAGCATTCCATCGCTGTGTCACTAACCCCGATCGCTGATATATGTATGTATGTATGTGTTCTTACACGTATGTGATGGGTGTTCACTTACAAGTGATTAATATGATTACTTGAAATGATGGAGAACGTTTCAGCGTTCCGTTTAATTGGGATTTGTTCGCCACTTTATTTAAAATAAATAAATATCATTTTCAAGAGTTACCCATGGGTAAAGATCCTTTTCTTCACATAACAATTTAGTCAGCCTGTTTGGCGTAATATTTTGAGGAATTTGTTGTTTCTGTACTAAGCACTATGTTGTCATTTGTCCATTATGAAGAAATGCACCTAGAATAAACACTTGTGGGTTCATTGGTTGAAGAGCTCAACTTAAAGCCAAAGGGTCACGTGTCTCAGTCCCGCTCTGCCTACTTCAGCCTGGGCAACTGGGTAATATCATCAGTCCTCATATAATGCGTCTAGCTGACAACTGAATTTAGTCTACATACTAGATCAGCTTTCATTCTGTTGATTCATGCTCAGTTGTATTGCCTTTTTGTTTGAACTAAGTTAATTTAGTTTCAATCGTTCAAGTATTGCCCATAAATTCAACTCACATAATGAAAATAAAAAAGAAACTTGGGGCGTATTGGTTTAATCAAAAGTCAAGTTTTGACTCGGGTTTTCCCTTTGAGTCACCGTCACAATTTGATTCCTAGTAAGGTGAAGACATTTTAGCATTAAAACATTCGCTGTTGCTGCTACTATAACCTCATTGAAAGTGGTGTACAGTTTTTCATGTCGATCACCAGTGTGTATGGTGTCACACACACACACACTTCTCATACCATTTACTATTTCAAGCAGGTCACATTATTGTGAAATGGATATATTGTTTTTCCAAAGCAACCGTTATGAAATATCACCTGAAACTGAGTGGTTTGCAGATGGTCACTTTTAATTTTATGAAACTTCACTTAGTGAATGAATTTCAGTTCACTCCGTAGTATTTCGACGATTGCTATCACTGTCTATCTGTCTGTCTGTCTGTCTGTTTTCGACAAAGAACTTTTCACTGATGTGCAGGAGTTGGAGTTGCCACACTCCCTTCAATTAGCACACAAAGCAAGAGAAGAAAGCAGAAGAAATGCAAAATATAAAGGCAGTAGACAAGGATATGAGACAAGAGGAATAGTAATATCGAAGAATAATATAGTTTCATTGGAAATTATAAGTCACAAGAAGTGGATGCATCTGCGCCTGCCATTGAGAACGATTTTGAGCTACATCAACAATTGTCTCCAGCCTTCATTGGCTCCTACTATCCCCAGGACCCTAACCAGTCAAGAAATCCACACCTCCCCATGTGGCTGACTGGCTTAAACTAATTGTCGTGGATTTTACTGACTGATAAAGCCATCTTTTGGTTTGACTACCAGTGGCTCTTTTCCAACCTGACCCTATCTTGGCAGCTAACATTGTCTGTTGTCGAGGAAGGCGATGGTTAGGCATACGTAACACATGTCCTAACCATCTCGGTGGATGTAGCTTCACAGCCTCGTCAATTGATTTTCCCTCCAACTCACCTAGCACTCGACCAATGCCTAACCTCACTATTACTCACCCTTTTGTACTACTTCACACGGGAGATAGAATGCAGGCACCTATGATCTTACTTACTTTACTTTACTTCGGCTATCTCCTACGGGAGGATGAGCCGGCTTCATGAACGTCTCGAATCATCGCTGCCCAGGCGCGGCAATTTGTAAGAGAGTTCATGAAGTTTCATGGGAATTTGGTACGAGTGATGTCCCCAGCATCGCTCGGCCTTTTGTTTGAGAGTGCAGCTCTAGCCAAGTGTGACCTACAAGGCAGTAGGAGTGGAGTAAGGAGTCCACTATCCATTGGCAGCCGGTGACCGGAGTTCGGTTCATACGCCTTTTTGAATGGGGCCAGACATCCAGGACATCCAACAAGCCCTTTGTCCATACGTCTGCCAGTGAGCTCCAGTGAGCTTCATACGCCAGTCGTTGGAGGTTTGGAATCAGGGTTTAGCCATCTCCCCTAGACTGTCATCCAATGGACAGTCAACCCGGTGGAGAGCGCCGGGCATCCGCTTTCGCCCTCTCACTTTGGTGAGAAACACCTCCGCCACGTGAAGGCAGTGAGTAGGACTTCCTCAGGAGAGGCTATGTAAGACGCCCGGTCATATGGGAGCATTTCAGGAGGTGTGCGGAGGGGTGGCCAACCCGCAGCGCAAGGCACCCACCCCCGACCATCCTGAGGCTTTGGAGGCCTATGAGGCACCTATGATCAAGGACAGTTAGTCTTTTCATGTGTTTCACTTTCAGTGGCCATGCCTCACTTACAGCCATAAAGGAGGACGGATATCTATCACTATACATATCAAGGTTTGTAAATTTTCCCGTTTAACATTTTCCAACAGGCAACAACGCTTCGCTACACACACTGAAGTGTTCTGCCAAAGAACAAACAGTTATGCTTAAAGCATGAAAAGTGACGTTTTTCGACACTAAATTCTATTTGTGTAATATGTCTGCCCAAACAGTCTATAGGTCGCGGTTTTGGAACCAATTCTGTTTGGTTTTAGACAGCCATTGCATTGCGATAGGTATGATTCATTACTGGGATACATTATCACCATATAAGCGTCTGTTCAGGAGTACAAGTTTTAAATCATCAGTTACACTCAATCAGAACATTTTGTAGTGCCTTGAAGAAAGTAAGGATTTCGGAAATAACAAATTGAACACAAAAAATATTCCTCTAGATATGTACTAAAATGTGACTTTACTGTCCCCTTGAAGCTCTGTCGTAATATTTATATGAAAAGCCGCGAGTTTTCAGTGTACACGACAATATGATATGATAAAGACAACTAGACATAGTGCATAGATCAGTTTCGTCCATGCGCATAGTAACCTGATCTCAAATGAGTCCATTAATATCCATGTATTGTATTATTATTAAAACACAAACTTAGTACATCATTATGGGCACCAACAGATGCGTCACACAAAATCTTTTAGTTTTTATGCGTGGGATAGTGGGATACTGCCCCGATTGAAGCAGGTAGCTGTTCTAAGGGGCCACTCCCCCAAGAGCCTTTTACATGAAGTTTTGTCTACGAGCCAGTGGAGCTGCACTCCGTCGGTTTCCGGTGACCAAAACAGATTCATATTACTATTCAGTCCTTTCGGATTCTTGAGCCCGTTGACACCATAGACTTACAGTTCTTCTGAACACATTGAGCTGCAATCTACGAATGTTTGGCATGCGATTCGCTCCTACTGTCAAATGTAAGATGATGTTACAGGACTGGACTACAGCGACTCCTAGATTAGAAATAGAGAGTGAAGTGGTATAGCACGTTGACTGCTTCACTTATTTGGGAAGTACCATCAGCCAGTGTCAACGGGTTGATCTCTCACGAAACGTCAGCACGGATACAGAGGGCTAGTTTCGCATATGCCAGTTTACGCCGTCTCCAGCGTAGACGTGATATCCAGCTGGCTATCGACCAAAGGGCGGGTGTACTGCTCAGCAGTCCGCTCCGTCCTCCTTTATGGCTAGCTGTGAGACGTGGCCATTGAGAGTGGATGATATAAAAAGGCTAGCTGACTGTCTTTGATTGTAGGTGTCTGCGTTCTATCTCCCGTGTAAAGTGGTATAATAAGGTGAGCAATATTGAGGTTAGGCGTCGATAGAGCGCTACGTAAGGAGGGGAAATCAGTTGACGAAGCTGTGAAGCTACATCCACTGAGATGGTTAGGACATGTGTTACGGATGCCTAGTCATCGCCTTCCTCGACAGCAGGCAATGTTAGCTGATATAGGGTAAAGTCAATGAAATCCACAACAGTTAGTTTAAGCCAATTATGTAGGGAGGTGTAGACTTCCTGACTAGTTTGGGTCCTCGGGACGGCAAAAACCAATGAATTCTGGAGACAATTGGTGATATGGCTAGCTCAAAATCGTTCTCAATGGTTGGTGGAGATACATCCACTCCTTGTGACTTATGATTTCCAATGAAACTGTATTGTTCTTCGTCATTACTATTCCTTTGTCTCACACCTCTGTTTACTGTCTCTATTATGCATTTCTTCTACTTTCTTCTCTTGCTTTGTGTGGTACATGGAGGGAGTGTGGCGACTTTAACTGCAGCACATATGTGCAGAGTTCTATGTCGAAAACAGACATAAAGTAAAATTAAGGAGTTTTGAAGGAACTATACCTCTGAAAACCAAACTCACACTTTAATAGGATTATTTTGTGAAATTTTCCGTATTAATTGAATTATTTTTCTCTATATTTCTTTTATTTGAGTATTCAAAAAACGTAGTTAACTCTTTTTGTTTTACCTGCCTCGAATGAACTTTTGTCAGTGTTAATGCCGTGCACACAAAGTGTGCATTTGTCAAATTGATTGATCCATTTATGCTCAATATAACATTGATTACCGATATATATTTAAGTTCATTGTTCATTACAAATGATTGTATACCTATTTCTATCATTAAAAATCGAATTATAAGACACATTAGGGCGACTTTCTGTTTTGCATGCATTGTGTGCATTTATTAAACTATCTGGT